GGGGGGAGGGGGGGGGGGGGGGGGGGGGAGAACGTGCGTGAAATGAGCCCAATCTGAGTGAAAATATGCAGTTCAGTTGGAATGAGGGGAGAGTGAACCAATTTACTTGAACACGCGGGACTCGAGCAGGATTTCGCTCGCACTTAGGGTGGGGCACGAAGTGTGTTGGTGTGTGGTGTTCGCCAGAAATCAATAAATCCTGTTCTCTTGGATCAGAGCAGCCAAATTTGATTGAGTGAAGGCGGTGGATCAACTTAAACACAAAAAGAAGGAGAGCCCGACGTTAGCCAGCGATCTGATTAGTCTGAGATAATTGATTTTTTGAATTTTTTATTAATTTTTTAATTAGTTGATTTTACTACCGATAAAACGTACTTTACACAAGTCACTGCTCACCTTTTTCTCATCTTCGTTGCTAAGATCACCATACGAGCTTCTTCCAGTCGTATGGATGTCCGGATCACTTCCAGCAACACGTGCAGTCAGTAATGAAACATCACAAGGTTCTTCTTCAACCGAGTATCCCATACATTCACAATCGCTGACCAAAACTTAATACAAAGTTGAAATTCAATTAGAGTACATGTTAGACGAAGATGAGTGTGGGTTCTTTCACCCAAACGGGTGGGCCATGCTCGCCACATCCGATCGGTGGGGGCAATCGAGCGATGTTATGGGGAACATTTGAATTTTCAGTAGAACATTTACAGTATTTGTTTCAAAACGATTCCCAGTTGACGTGCCAATGAAAGAAAAAGTAGGAAAATAGAAATAATGCGCGGGATAGTTGACTCATGCCTGGGAGCCTTTTGTCCAGACACCTTTCCAACAGGACTGAAACTATCTCGTGGTAAGATTTGCAGGCAGACATTAACCAACAATTCTTAGCAGGACCTCGAACTTTTTACTGGGTCCTGACAAACGGGAAATATGTACAGCCCTCGGCATCCCCTTCGCCTTTACTATTTTGCGTACCGTAGTAGTAAAACAACTACTACTGGGGACTGTTAAAAGGTTGGGAGCTCCAAAAACTAGGGTTCCACAGTGCACAACATAGTTGGGACCACTAAACAATGATGAAGTCCTTACCATCATTTCCGATACAAAATCGATTTCGCTGGCGAAGTTTATTGTCATGGCGACACTGGCTCCATTCGGACCATTTTGACCAACGACAACTCTGAAACAGAGAACGCTATGTTGAAATGGTTCATGGGCAAAGCATAACAATCAAGTATATTAAG